TAGAGACGGGGTTTCACCATGTTGACCAGGATGGTCTCGATCTCTTGACCTCGTGATCCACCCGCCTCGGCCTCCCAAAGTGCTGGGATTACAGGCGTGAGCCACGGCGCCCGGCCCATATTTCTTTTTTTTTTAAGGTGGATAGATATTCAACAATGGGGTAGCTGGATCAAATGGTAACTCTATTATTTTTAGTTCATTGAAAAATCTCCATACTGCTTTCCATAGAAGTTGTACTAATCTACATTCCTACCAACAGCATATAAGCATTCCCTTTCCTCTGCATCTTCACCTACATCTGTTGTCTCTTGACTCTTTAATAATTGCCACTCTGTGGCAAACAGCAGATGCTGGTGAGGCTGTGAAGAAAAAGGAATGCTTTTACACTGTTAGTGGAAAGGTAAATTAGTTTAACCATTGTAGAAGACGATGTGGCAATTCCTCAGACTTATAATCAAACATACCATTTGACTCAGCAATCCCGTTACTGGGTGTATACCCAAAGGAATGTAAATCATTCTATTATAAAGATACATGCACGGGCATGTTCATTGCAGCACTATTCACAATAGCAAAGACATGGAGTCAACCCAAATTCCCATCAATGATAGACTGGATAAAGAAAATATGGTACACATATACCATGGAATACTATGCAGCCACAAAAAGAAATGAGATCATGTCTTTTGCAGAGACATGGATGGAGCTAGAAGCCATTATTCTCAGCAAACTAATGCAGGAACAGAAAACCAAACACTGCATGTTCTCACTTATAAGTAGGAGCTAAACAATGAGAAGACGGGCACAGAGAGGGAAACCACACATGCTAGGGCAGGTGGAAGGTGAGGTACAGGGGGACAGAGAGCATCAGGATAAACAGCTAATGCAGTACTTAATACCTAAGTGATGGGTTGATAGGTGAAACAAACCACCATAGCACACAATTACCTATGTAACAAACCTGCACATCCTGCACATATATCCCAGAACTTAAAATAAATTTTAAAAATTATCATAATAACCAATTCTGACTGGTATGAGATGACATCTCATTGTGGTTTTGATTTGCATTTATCTGGTAATTAGTGATGCTGGTTTTATATATTTTTTGGCCAATGTATGTCTTCTTCTGATAAATGTTTGTTATATCCTTTGCCCACTTTTTAATGGAGTTATCTGGTTTTTTCTCATTGAGTTGAGTTTCCTGTAGATTCTGGATATTTATCCTTTATCAGATACATAGTTTGGAAGTGTTTTCTCCCATTCTGTAGCTTATGTGTTTACTCCATTAATTATTTCCTTTGCTGTGCAGAAGCTTTTTAGTTTAATTAAGTCCCATTTGTCTATTTTTGGTTTTGTTGCATTTGCTTTTGAAGTCTTAGTCATAAATTCTTTGCCTAGGCCAATGTCCTGAAGAGTTTTTCCTAGATTTTCTTATAGGATTTTTATAGTTGCCAGTCTAGCTAGAGCAATCAAGCAAGAGAAAAAAATAAAAGACATCCAAATTGGAAAAGAGAAAATCAAATTATCTCTGGTCACTGATGACAAAATCTTATAACTAAACAAACCTAAAGACACCTTCAAAAGACTACTAGACTCAATAAGTTATTGGAGTAAAGTTTCAGGACACAAAATCAACAGGATACAAAACTTAGTAGCATTTCTATACACCAATAATGTTCAAATTGAGAACCAAATCAATCCCCTTTACAATAATCACACACACAAAAAAACCTAGGAATATGTTTAACCACAACAGTGAGATATCCCTACAAAGAGATCTATAAAAAAAAAAGATGAAAGAAATCATAGATGACAGAAAAAAATGGAAAAATATCTCATGCTCGTGGATTGAAAGAATCAATATTATTAAAAACAACCATATCTCCCAAAGCAATATACAGATTCGATGCAATGCCTATAAACTGCCAATGTATTTTTCACACAATTAGAAAATATCATTCTAAAATTCATATAAAACCAAAAAATAGCCCAAATAGACAAAGCAATCTTAAGCAAAAAGAAAAAAATTAGAGACATCACATTACCTAACTTCAAATTATTCTACAAGGCTATAGTAACCAAAACAGCATGGTACTGGTTTAAAAATAGACACACAGATCAATGGAACAGAAGATAGAACTCCAAAATAAAGCTATATACCTACCACCAACTTATCCTCAACAAAGTTGACAAAACTATACAATGAGGAAAGGACATACTACTCAATAAATGGTACTGGGAAAATTGGATAGCCATATGCAAAAGAATGAAATTGGAACCTTGTCTCTCACCACATATAAAAATTAATTCAAGATGGATTAAAGACCGAAATAAAAGACCTGGAACTATTTTGTCTTATTCTTAACTGATCAAATAGAAAACTGTTCAAAGTAATAACAATGTGTTATGTGATTATAGGATACGCATAAGTGAAATGAGTGAAAGCAATGCTGTAGGATGGGAGGGAGAAACTGAGAGTGCTCTGTTATAAGATACCTATATCACCTATGAAGCAATATAGTGTTATTTAAAAGAGACTTTGGTGAGTTGTAAATGTATATTGCAAACTCTAGTACAGCTACTAAAAAAATTTTAAGATGTATAGTTGATATGTTATGAGTGGAGAGAAAATGGAATGGTATAAAATGCTCAATTAAAACCAGAAAAGGCAGAAAAAGAGAAGAAAAAAGAAACAAGAAACAGATACAACAAAAAGAAAACAATGATAAACATGTCAGATAGTAATTCAACTATATCAATAATCACTTTACATACGAATTGGCTTAAACATGCCAATTAAAGGACAGAGATTGT